GAGGCCACTTTTTAAATATAGTTTCTCAGCCTCCAAACGATGCAGAGGGCAAGGGAGAGCCATGGTAACATCACTGTGGGAGTCAAGGGAAAAATTAGCTCTGTTTCATTGGCTTGTGGTAGTTCGGGAAAGTTAAGTAACACAGATGTGTTAAATTAAGCAAAGGCTCATTGCCCCTGGCTGGCTATTCGTTTGTTGCTGTTGTTAATATCTTATGGCAACATGATTTCGCGTTTGTTCCCTGCTCCTAAATTTCACCAGGAACAAAGTAGTCTTTGATTTATGACCACAATAAGCCCCAAATTTTCATTACAGCTAGTTCTTGACTTATAATAGTACATTCTGTGACCATTTGAAATAACAGCGGCCCTCAAAAAGTGACTTACAAATGTTTTCCACACTTATGACCCATTGCAGCATCTCCGGGATCACGTGATCCATTCAGATGCTGGGCATCTGGATTCATATTTATGACGGTCGCAGGTTGTCCCGGGGTCATGGGATCCCTTTTTGCAACTTTCTGACAAGCAAAGTCGACGGGGGAAGCCAGAATTCACTTAACAACCCTGTGACTAACAACTGCAGTGATTCATTTAACAAGATAGTCATAAAATGGAGCAAATGTCTCAGCAACAGAAAATTTGGGCTCAGCTGCAAGGAAACTCTTCTTGTTGGGAATAACCACAGAAAAATACGACAAGAGAACAATCTACCTGCTGCTACACATCCTGACTGTAGCTAGGCTTGCTTTAGCGCAAAAATGGAAGAGCAAGGAAATTCCCACAGAGGAAGAGTTAATACATAAAATATTAGCATGTGCGGAAATGGACAGGCTCACAATGATATTAAAAGATAAATGTGGATCAGTTTATTATGAAACCGGGGATAAATTTTACCGCTGGAGGAATTTGAAGAGGACAGTCGGGATTAAAGATGAATGTTAAGATAGAAATATATGTTATTTTAGAACAAGTATTGTATATAAAACTTAGATGTATATGTAGAGATGAAGAATTGATTGTAAAAAGTGGAATAATCTGATAAGAATGTATATACAGGAATGTCACGTCAAATCCAATGTTTGTTTGTGTTTAATTATATTATAAATAAAATTTATTAAAAAAAAAGAAAGAAAGAAAATTTGGGCTCAGCTGTGGTCATAAGCAGTAGTGGGATTCAAATATGTGAACAATCGGTTCTCTGTGTGGATGCTGCTTCCGGAAGTCCATTCTGGGCCTGGGCAACAAAAAATTAGCTATCGGTTCTGCCGAAGTGGTGTGAACTGGCTGAATCCCACCACTGGTTGTAAGTCGAAGCCTACCTGTATTTCTTCATCTGATGCATCTTGAAAGACTATTATTTATAGCATAGTTCCTTCTCAAAATCAGGTCTGACCAAAATAGAATAAATAGAACAGTGACATGACTTCTGAATTACACTTCCGTTGATACTGAATTAATAGAAGAACAGAGTAGCAGAGTGGGAAGGGAGCTTGGAGGTCATCTAGTCCAACCCCCTGCTCAGGCAGGAGACCGTATACCATTTCAGACAAATGGTTGTCCAATTTCTTCTTAAAAACCTCCCATGTTGGAGCATTCACCACTTTTGGAAGCAAGTCCTTCCACTGGTTAATTGTTCTAACTATCAGGAAGTTTCTCCTTAGTTCTAGGTTGCTTCTCTCCTTGATTGGTTTCCATCCGTTGCTTCTTGTTCTATCTTCAGAGGCTTTAGAGCAGTGGTTCTCAACCTTTTTAATGCAGCGACCCCCAACTGGTCATACGTTGAGGACTACTCAACTGGTCGTCAGTCGAGGACTACTCAACTGGTGCAGCACCGTTTGCAGAATGGGACTTTTGGCGGGCTCAGCAGGGCAGAGACAGCCTGGACAATTCCTATTGGCTTTTGAAAGCCAATAGAATAAAAGGGAGTAGCACAGCTAAGGAAAAGGGGAAAAAAATGGCAGACTGCGTTGTTTAGCGACCCCCGTGAAATGGTCGTTCAACCCCAAATGGGGTCCCGACCCACAGGTTGAGAACCACTGCTTTAGAGAACAGGCTGACCCCCTCTTTTTTGTGACAGCCCCTCAAATATTGGAAGACTGTTATCATGTCACCCCTAGTCCCCCTTTTCATTAAACTAGACATGCCCAATTCCTACAACCGTTCTTCATATGTTTTAACCTCCAGTCCTCTAATAATCTTTGTTGTTCTTCTCTGCAGTTTTTCTAGAGCAGGGGTAGGCAACCTTGGCTCTTTTATGACTCGTGGACTTCAACTCCCAGAATTCCTGAGCCAGCAGGGCTCAGCATGGAAACCTCTCCCTTTCCCCTCAGCATGGCTGGCTCAGGAATTCTGGGATTTGAAGTTCACGAGTCATAAAAGAGCCACGGTTGCCTACCCCTGTTCTAGAGTCTCAATATCTTTTCTATAACATACCATGGTGACCCAAATTGGATGCAGTACTCCAAGTGTAGTCTTAGTAAAAGAATATATAATGGCACTAATCCTTCATGTGATTTTGATACTATCCCTCTGTTATTGCAGCCTAGGACCGCATTGGCCTTTTTGGTAGCTGCAGCACTTGAGTGCTTGTCCAATAGGATTCCTAGATCCCGTCAGGTCCACCATCGTAGTTTGGTGTCCTGCCATCGTGCTAAGGGGGGAGGGGGATGGCATATTTGGAATTTTCCCGCTTCTTCTGCTCTCTGGGGAAATAGGGAGGGGGACTGTCTTCGAAGATGAGATGGGTTCCTCCTCAGTCAGTTTTTGCCAGATTCCAAGGCCGCCATGCCCTGAGTGTGAACTGTTACCTGCCTAGCACCTCAGTGTTCTCAAAACATCACATTGGTTGCCAGAGGACTGGTCAGGGAGGGTTGGGTCTGGGAAATCAACCAAGATGCTTTACGCTTTGCGCGGGATCTTCAGATTTCACCTGACTGTACTGCATCCAGTTTATTTATTTATTTGTTTATTTGTTTATTTATTTATTTAGGAGACTTATATACAACTTTAAGTGCAAGCACTCTCTAAGTGGTGTACACCAGTAAGCAATGTATATATATATATATTTACATTGCCCCCAACAATCTGGGTCCTCATCAATTTATCTCAGTAAAAGTTCTTTTGATCCAACTCAATGGATTCAAGAGTCTTACTTTCCTGAGGGGACAACTGGGGTAGATCCCTCTTACAGTTACTGCTGTTGAGCCAGGTAACACCTATTCTGTACCTTGGCATTTGGTTTTTTTCTTGCCTACGTGTAAAATTTACTTTTTCTAGCACTGAATTTCATTTTATTCAATGGGGTCTGGTGTCGAAGTCTATCAAGATCCTTTTGATCTTGAGCCTAAACTCTATCAAATGTTGTGTGTGCCCCCCAGCTGGGTGTCATCTGCAAATTTGATGAGTTCCCCTTCTATCCTCTTCTCTAATTTGCTTATGAAGATATTGAAGAATACAGAGCCTAAGACAGAACCTTGGGGTACCTCACTGCTTCCTTCCTTCCTTCCTTCCTTCCTTCCTTCCTTCCTTCCTTCCTTCCTTCCTTCCTTCCTTCCTTCCTTCCTTCCTTCCTTCCTTCCTTCCAGATGTAGTTCCATTGCAGACTACATGTTGAGTGTGGTTGGTCACCCAGTTATGAATTCGTCCAATGGCCCTGTTGTCCATCTCACATTTTTTCTATCTTACCAAGAAGTAGGTCAGTGATGGCGAACCTTTTAGAGACCGAGTGCCCAAACTGCAACCCCAAACCCACTTATTTATTGCAAAGTGCCAGGACCACATCAGAGTTGTGGTGCCCTCGGGGGGGAGGGAGGCGCCTCTGAGTGCTGCCTCTGGCACACAAAAACTGGGGGTGCAAAAATGGGCCACTGTGCTGCAAGGGGCAAAAATGGCCACCACTGTGCCGCAAGGTGCAGATACAAGGCGCTACATCATGCAAGAACAGGGCAGGAATAGTGAGTATCATGCAGGCACTAGCCCTGCCCCATTTGCAGTGCGTGCATGCTCGTGGTCCTATGTGCACATGCACACATGTAAAATGCTTCCCCCTCCCTTTTCTTCCAGTCCACCAATCAACAATGGTTGGTGACCTCTGCTCTACTACTTCTACTCGAGCTTGCTAGTTGGCCACTTCGCCTCCTTTGTGCTGGGCGGGGCTCCTACTCTGGGCGGCAGTGGCACGCGTGCCAACAGAGAGGGCTCTGCGGAGCAGGGAAGGTGGGTGGGGACGGTTTTTGGATACTCGGTCTCTAAAAGGTTCGCGGCCTGATGGACCTGCTGCTGGCGGCGGTAGCACGTGTACGAACAGAGAGATCTCTGAGTGCCGCCTCTGGCACACATGCCATAGGTTCGCCACCCCTGAAGTAGGTTGTGGTCTACTTTGTCAAATGCTTTACTGAAGTCCAAGTGTGCTATGTCCACAGCATTTCGCTCGTCCACCAATTTAGTCATCAATTGCTGCATTGCATTTGCCTTTTTTTTGCAATTACATCACAGCGCTGGCTCATATTCAGTTTAGCCATCTGTGGCAGAAGGCTATTCTGGGATTTACAGATCCAACACCTTTTGAAAGTATTGTCACAAAAAGCTGATCGATGATTTCTCCCATGTTATGAATGTCTTAGAGCTGCGACGGCTCAGCGGTTAAAGAAACTGTGCCGTGTCAGCAGGAAAGCTGGCAGCCTGCGTTCGAGAACTGAGTGCAGCATGACGGGGTTCCTCCTGTTCCTTGCTCCAGCTCCTGCTCAACTAGCAGTTCAGAAACATGCAAATGCGAGTAGTAAATAGGTACCACTTTGATGGGAAGGTAACAGCTTTCTGTGCATCCGGGCAGATAGTCATGCCGGCCACCACGGAAGCATCTTTGGACAGTGCTGGTCCCTCGGCTTCAGAAGCAGAGATGAGCATCACCCTCTTGAGTCAGTCACGCCTGGACAGTACCTTTATCTTTGATTAATGTCTTGCTTCTGATTCTCCTTTTCTCTCTCTCTGTCTCTACAGGTGAAAGAAGACTGGAAATATGTGGCAATGGTCATTGACAGAATATTCCTCTGGGTGTTTATCTTAGTCTGCCTCCTGGGAACAGTGGGACTTTTCCTTCCACCTTGGCTGGCAGGGATGATTTAGGAACAGTCCAGCCTGGAAAAGGAATTGATTAAGTTCAGAGGTCTAAGTCCACCCTGGAAAGCCCAAGCTTTCATCTCGGGCTGGCTGCTATTCATAATTTACCATCACATCAGCGCATGACTATTTTCCTAGAAGCTCCGGAATTGCCTTCCAAGATTGTGTCATTTGCCTAAACCATGGTCATCATCTATATCTCTTTGAGGGGGTCGGGGTGGGGGGGGAAGGGCTGGTTCTAATTGCATGATGGCATTAGTTGTCCTATATAATCCTGAGAACCCAACGAGGTTCCCTTAAGGAACTACAACCATAAAGGCACTCAAGAGTCCAATAACACCATGAAGAAATAGTGGCATCGGGTTGAGGTTCTCCAGAACTGTACTGGGTCTAAACTAAATGTCCTGGGGCGTGCATCCTTGCACTAAACATAAGGTGAGTTGCCAACTGAGGTGATGCATTTTGATTATTGCGATTTTGCGGTGGAAAATGAAAAGCTGAGGATTCAGGAGAAAAACATCCCAAACTTCTAGTAATGGAAGAAAGTAGAGAAAATAAATTTTGTAGGTCGGTTCCCTGATGGGTTGTGTCCAGGGAATAGCTCATCTGTCCACTGAAGCCTTGAGCAGAGGAGTCACATGGCTCAGGTTTTTCAGATCCTTACCTCATGAGATTATGGGTAGTGACGAAGTTGTACATAGACACGAATCCATCAGGAAGAAAGATAGGATTAGGATGCTTCTAGCAGACCTGCTCACTCTGAATTTGCAGGAAGCTTTTGAGGTACAGAAATGTTCCAACAGAAGAAGCTTTCTTTGCAGCTTGAAAGGGACAGTCCAGCAAATGCATCTCTGATGCAAGGGACATCCAGCTCAAGAGAGAGCTGCAGACAGTAGCTCATAAACATATGGTGGCATCAGAGGAAGTTCTGAACATTTGAAGGGCATCTTTACGGTGAGAGCCAATTTGATGGTGAGGCTGAAGGCACTGGACTAGACACCAGAAGACCATGAGTTTTAGTCCTGCCTTAGATCCAAAGCCAACTGGATGACTTGAGGACCATCATCCTCTCTCAGCCCCAGGAAGAAGAACACAGCGTCAAACAACTTCCCAAAGAATGTTGCCACAAAAACTGCGTAGAATCATCCAGAGCCTTGCCAGGAATCAAGAGTAACTTGAAGGCGCCAAATCACAACTTGAGCCTACCAATAGTAAAAGAACCCTTCTGCAGAGTGGGCTAAAGGCCTTTGTCAAGTTGATTCAGCAGCAAACAGAGATCAAAAGTGATCCCAACAATGCCTTTCCTTGGACTAGTAATGCTGTATAAGAACCAACTTGGCACGTTTTAGGAGTAGCAAGCTGCCGTAGGTATCCCAAAGATGCTTTTTCAAGAGGCAAACTAGACTTCTTTGTTTTTCTTTGAAGACGTCCCGCTTCTCATCCAAGAAGCTTCTTTAGCACCGACCAAAGAAAAACAAGAAAGTCCAGTTGCCTCGTGAAAAAGCATCTTTGGGATAACGATGACCTGGATGACTGAGAATCTCCATAGACAAGCTGCAATAGGTACTAGGCTACCGGGAAGCATGGGTTGAAGAGTGTTATTGCATTTGGGTCCAATTTGTGAGCTTTGAATAATAGAATATCAGAGCTGGAAGGGACCTTGGAGGTCTTCTAGACCAGGGGTCCTCAACCTTGGCAACTTTAAGACTTGTGGACTTCAACTCCCAGAATTCCTCAGCCAGCAAAGCTGGCTGAGGAATTCTGGGAGTTGAAGTCCACAAGTCTTAAAGTTGCCAGGGTTGAGGACCCCTGATCTAGACCAGGGCTTTTCAACCTTTTCACCCATTGTACCACTTTTAGAATATGGCAACATCCGAGTACCACCAGTCGCCTAGCAAGGTGTCAAAAACTTGATGAAGTACAGGTAGTCCTCAGCTTACAACAGTTCATTTAGTAACTATTCTAAGTTGCAACAGCACTGAAAAAAGTGTCCCCCAAGGCATAGCCGAGCAAGACACCTGCCTGCCCACCAGGCGGCGCTCTTCCTCCACTCCGAGGTTTTCATTGTTGTGAGCATTTCTGTTGAGGATTGGCAGCGGGGGTGGGGTAGGGGGTGTTTGGTTTTTATTCCCCCCGACTGCTGGGTGGTTGCAGCAGGTTTTGGTCACTTCACATGACCCTGGGACACTGTGACCGTCATAAATATGAATCAGTTGCCAAGCATCTGAATGTAAATCACAAGACCCTGGAGATGCTGCAACATTCCAGCTGATCGGCGCTTCTTCTGGGCTCAGCAGATGTGCCAGAATCAGCACCGAGCTCCAGCTGGAGCTTGGCACTGATCCTGGCGCTTCCACTGAGCCCTGACAGCCCTGCAGCTCCAGCCATCTCTCGCTCAGGCTTGTGCGGTGTTGCCACCAGTTAGCTTATTCCCCTCCCCCACTACCACTTTTCTAGGATGCTCGTGTACCACCTGTCAGGTGCCAATGTACCATAGGTGGTACCCGTACCACTGGTTGAAAAGCCCTGGTCTAAACCAATCCCCTGCTCAAGTAGGAAATCCTTTAGTGTTTCAGATAAATGTTTGTCTAACCTCTTAAAAACCTCCAGTGTTAGAGCATCCAGAATTTTTGGAGGCCAGATAAGAATAATAAAGATAATCCTGTCCTCTGAATAACTAATAAAGAACCATGTCACAAGAGATGTTGATAATGAATCAATATAGTGGATATAACAAAAGTCCCAACGGTGCTTTTTCAAAAGGCAACTGGACTTTCTTGGTTTTTATTCCCCCTCCCCATTCAGTCAGAACTAAAGAAGCTTCTTGGATAAGAAGCGAAAGGTTTTCAAGGAAAAACAACAAACAAGAAAGTCCAGTTGCCTTTTGAAAAAGCACTTTTGGGACAACCATGACCTGAATGATTGGGAATTCCCATAGTTATAATATAAAAAGGTATCCAACCCAGAATTTGGCATAGAATCTGGTGACATCCCATTCCACGTTTTCATACTATCTGGCATAATCTCTTATAGTTGTAGATGTCACCTTTTCCCAAGCAGGCCAGGTGGGTTTTTTTTTTTTTTTTTTTGGCAAAACTGCATCATCTTACCTCAGTGGTTCTCAACCTTTTTAGTGCCGCGCCCCCCAACTGATCGTAAGTCGAGGACTACTCAACTGGTGCAGCACCGTTTGCAGAATGGGACTTTTGGCGGGCTCAGCAGGGCAGAGACAGCCTGGACAATTCCTATTGGCTTTTGAAAGCCAATAGAATTAGACTCTATTCAAGAGAGTCTATTCTATTGGCTTTCAAAAGCCAATAGAATAAAAGGGTGTAGCACAGCTAAGGAAAAGGGGGAAAAATGGCGGACTGCGTTGTTTGGCGACCCCCGTGAAATGGTCGTTCGACCCCAAATGGGGTCCCGACCCACAGGTTGAGAACCACTGTCTTACCCAATGCTAGTAAGTCATCTTATCTATTATCAGGATCTTTACAGCTACAAAGCTGCAGCTTCTACTTTTTGATCGAGTTGTATTTGAGAAGTAGGTGTTGAAGACAACAAAATGAAATTCAATAGTGAAAAAAGTAAAGCTCTACATTTAGGAAAGAAAAACCAAATGCACAGGTATAGTATAGGGGGTACCTTGCTCAATAGTAGTAACTGTGAGAGGGATCTCGGAGTCCTAGTGGACAATCACTTAGATATGAGCCGGCTGTGTGCTGCAGCTGCCAAAAAGGCCAACACAGTGCTAGGCTGCATTAATAGAGGGAGAGAATCAAGATCACGTGAAGTATTAATACCATTTTACAACGCCTTGGTAAGGCCACACTTGGAATACTGCATCCAGTTTTGGTCACCACGATGTAAAAAAAGGTGTTGAGTCTCTAGAAAGAATATAGAGAAGAGCAACAAAGATGATTAGGGACTGGAAGCTAAAACATACAAAAGAATGGTTGCTGGAATTAGGTATGTCTAGTTTAATGAAGAGAAGGACGAGGGGGACATAATAGCAGTATCTCAGGGGTTGCCACAAAGAAGAGGGAGTCAAGCTATTCTCCAAAGCTCCTGACGGCAGGACAAGAAGCAAGGATGGAAACTAATCAAGGAGAGAAGCAGTGGAACAACTTGCCTCCAGAAGCGGTGAATGCTCCAACACTGGAAGTTTTTAACTTGTACAACCATGTGTCTGAAATGGTATAGGGTTTCCTGCCTGAGCAGGGGGTTGGACTAGATGACCTCCAAGGTCCCTTCCAACTTTATTATTATTATGGATCATCGCACAGTCAGCCAGATGTTCAGACTGGATGATGATGATGGTGATGATTATTATTATTATTATAACACCTCACAACCTTTCTATTAAAAAGCACTTTTACTGGTGGGGAAAAAAAAGTCCCAACATTTATAGATGGGTACGATTCCCTGTGATTCCCATGCCCAACCCTGGTTTTGCCAGCTCAGACTTGTTGCATAAGCCTCAGGTGAACTTTTACATTTTTGTTGAATTTCGTTAGCCCGATGGAAAATAGATTCTTCAAAGGGGGGGGGACCGAAATAAAAGATGACTCCCACAGATTTTTATTCCTCATAACTCTTGGCCAATCCTTTCTCAGTTAAGAGAAGCTCCATAAACAATATTAAAATAAAGGATTTCTGAGAAATCTTAATCTCCTGTCATTCTTTATTGTCTTCCTTGAACACGATGCTCCCCAAACTCACATAATATTGTGAGTTTTTAGGAAATCAATTAAGGCGAGTAGGGAAGATAGATGGATGATATGATTGAAAAACAGAGGTCCATTTCAATATGCAGTATATCTTATCTTTAGGTCAGTGATGGTGAACCTTTTAGAGACTGAGTGCCCCAAAACCACCTCACCCCTGCCCTGCCCCCGCCTCTCCTGCTCGCAGGGCCACCCACCACCTCCATGGCTCGCCACAGCAGATCGCCCAGGTGGCCCAGCAGCATCATGGCGGCCATACCCTCTGTCCATGTCCCGCAGCATCTGTACACGATGGGCGCAAGGGCGGAGTCTTGTCCCCACTGCCCGGCTGCCATGTACTTGGCTGCGCTGTTCTGCACAGACTGTGCCTGGGGTGACTTTTCTCTGGGGGGGCTGCTGGTAAGGAGGGGGCCACAGGGAGTGGCGGGGCTGGGGCGATGGCGTGCGTGCCC